ATACCATTAATTTTTATAATAATTTCATTAGTAATATTAGTCTTAATAAAGCAAATCATGGAAAATCTCATAAATATTTGAATAAAGTCAACTGAGCAGAAAACTAGAAAACTTAAATGTGGGTTATTGAACATTAGATCTATTTTTTCTAAGACTTTGTTAGTTAATGACTTGATTTGTGATCATCAGATTTCTTTGCTCTCTCTCACAGAATCCTGGCTGCAGCAAGAGGACTATGTTAGTTTAAACGAGTCGACTCCTTCTAATTATTTAAATCATCATATTGCTCGAAGTACAGGGCAAGGAAGAGGAGTAGCAACCATTTTTCATTCAGACTTATTAATCAATCCCTTACTAATTAATAGCTACAGTTCATTTGAACATCTTATTCTTAGTTTTCCTAGTCCAGATTGCAAAACTGTAAAACCACTCTTGTTTGTAGTTTTATATCGTCCACCAGGCCCTTACTCTGAGTTTTTGGATCAGATCTCTGATTTTTTATCTGATTTGGTGCTAAATACTGGTAAGGTCATTGTAGTGGGGGATTTTAACATACATGTGGACATTGAAAACGATAGCCTCACTGTAGCCTTTAGGAATATCTTAGACTCAATTGGTTTTACTCAAAGAATACATAGCTCCACCCACTCCTGCCATCATACATTAGACCTTGTGCTGACTTATGGCATAGAGTGTGAGGAAATAACGATCTTTCCACATAATCCAGTCCTCTCTGACCACTTTCTGATAACCTTTGAGTTTTTTATAACTGAGTTCTCAAGACATGAAAGTAAATTTCACTGTAGTCGGTCTCTATCTGACAACGCAGTTGCATCTTTTAAATCAACTGTTCCATCTTTACTGTCCTCAGCATCTCAGAGGAACATAGCAGAGGGCAATATTTTCATTTCTAGCCCTAACAAATTCATGCCTTAGTTCATAATGTTACTTCCTCTTTACGTGTGGCATTAGATGATGTTGCCCCTTTAAAAAAGAAGGTAATTAGGGACAGGAAGTTGGCTCCCTGGTTTAATTCTCATTTACGAACTTTAAAACAAAACTCTAGAAAATTGGAGAGAACATGGCGCTCCACGCACCATGAAGAGTCCTACTTATCCTGGAAAAATAGTCTTGTGCTTTATAAAAATAAGCTTCAACAAACTAGAACTGCTTATTTCTCAGCACTAATTGAGGAGAATAAGAATAATCCTAAATTTCTTTTCAGTACAGTTGCCAAACTTACACAGAATCATAGCTCTAAACCATCTATTCCCTTAGCCCTCAGTAGCAACGACTTCATGGGATTATTCACAAGTAAAATTAATTCTATTAGAAACAAAATTAGAAACAAAATAGTGAAAATAGTGGCCATCCAAGTATGTGAGCATTTAAACACTAATGCTCTGTTTGAGGAATTTCAGTCTGGTTTTAGAGAGTATCACAGCACTGAAACTGCATTAGTGAGAGTTACAAATGATATTCTCATGGCCTCAGATAAGAATCTTGTGTCTGTTCTACTCTTGTTAGATCTCAGTGCTGCTTTTGACACAGTAGATCACAATGTTCTTGTAGAAAGGCTTGAACATGTTGTAGGGATCAAAGGAACAGCGCTAGGCTGGTTTAAATCCTACCGGTCTGACAGATTTCATTTTGTAAATGTACATGACAAATCGTCTTCATACTCCAGGGTTACTTGTGGAGTACCACAGGGTTCAGTGCTTGGACCAATTCTTTTTACTATATGTATGCTCTCAATTGGTCAAATCATTAGACAGCATGGGATAAACTTTCACTGTTATGCTGACGATACTCAGTTATATTTATCCATTAACCCTGATGAACCTAATTGGTTAGGTAGATTACAGGCTTGTCTTGAGGACATAAAAAATTGGATGACTCTAAACTTTTTGCTTTTAAATCAAGACAAGATGGAAGTTCTCATCTGTGGACCAGAAATCCAGAAAAGGAAATTGCTTTGTCAATCACCTGACCTGAACGGCATTACATTAATCTCCGAGAACAAAGTAAGGAACCTTGGTGTTATCTTTGACCAGGACATGCCATTCAAATCCCAGGTTAAACAGGTTTGTAGGATTTCCTTTTTCCACCTTCGGAATATTGCTAAGATTAGAAGCATCCTTTCCAGGAGTGATGCTAAAAAACTAGTTCATGCATTTATTACATCAAGACTGGATTACTGTAATTCATTACTCTCAGGAAGTCTACAGAATGTAGTTAAAAGTCTTCAGCTTGTCCAAAATGCTGCAGCTAGAGTTCTGACGAGAATTACAAAGAGAGATCATATCTCTCCTGTCTTAGCTTCCCTACATTGGCTACCTGTTAAATTCAGATTTTAAGATCCTCCTTCTCACATATAAAGCTCTTAACAATCAATCTCCATCATAAATCAGTGATCTGATTGTTCCATATGTTCTTAACCGAGCACTTCGCTCTCAGACTGCAGGTTCACTGGTGGTTCCCAGAATATCTAAAATTAGGATGGGAGGCAGATCTTTTAGTTATCAGGCTCCTCTCCTGTGGAACCAGCTCCCAGCTTTTGTCCGTGAGGCAGAAACTTTGTCTACTTTTAAGACTAGGCTTAAAACATTTTTATTTGATGGGTCTATGGTTAAAATCTGATGTTAGCCTAAATCTGGACAAGTGGGGGAGTACAGGGAGGTGGAGTGTACAGTTGGTAAAGACGGCTCTCCCTTCCCCTGCCTCCAACATGCCTCCATCTAAAACGGCTAGATTATCCAGAGTTATCTCTGTAGTTATGCTGCTATAGGCTTAGACTGCTGGAGGATACACAGACCACTTTTCACACTCTACTACTTTCTTCTACAATCTGCTCTTTAACTGTATTATTTTCTGCAATTACAGCTGTTAACTTTATTTTTTCTTTGTTTTTTTCCCCAGAAGAAGCTACAATGATGTTCTGCTGAACTGTGGTGGCCTCATAGAGGGGGCCATCATCTAGCACACTGCTGCTAACCACTTAAATATTCTCCCTTTCCTGATAATAACTTTTTGCATTCCTTGACGTTGGATGTGCTACTTCTAGTTTATCCGTTTAATTATAGATTCACTAGGATAAATACAATAAAGTTTATCTCTCACCAAATAGAATATTTACTAAGAAATCACAATGTAACCATAGACACATTGCTTGGCGTGTGTGCGTGTGTGTGTGTGCGTGTGTGTGTGTGTGTGTGTGTGTGTGTGTGTGTGTGTGTGTGTGTGTGTGTGTGTGTGTGTGTGTGTGTGTGTGTGTGTGTGTGTGTGTGTGTGTGTGTGTGTGTGTGTGTGCTCTGTCTTCTCGATCCCCAGTGAGTCGTGGAGGATGGCTGCTTATTCTGAGCCAGGATTCTCTGGAGGTTTCTTTCTGTTAAAAGGGAGTTTTCCTCTCCACTGTCGCTTTATGCTTTCTTAGTATGAGGATTGCTGTAAAGTCAATTTGCTGGGTTCCTTATGTAGGAAACATTATTTCTGATTGGCTTAATGAACTGACCTGGATTGGAATGTTTATTATGTGAAGTGCCTTGAGACGACTCTTGTCGTGATTTGGCGCTATATAAATAAAATTGAATTGAATTGAATAATCTGCTATTAAAAAAATCTTAGGCCTTATTTGCTTCTTGTTATGGTTAAAGCCGTTGAGTGAAAATGCATTAAAAGGCAAAATAACTTTAAAAGATCATCAAAATGCTATTGATAACACCCAGTTTACAATATTTAAACAAAGCTTGTAAAAAAGTTTGAAACGTTTGCACAAGATTTGAGCAGGAAGCATATTTTTGCCATTAGCTTCTTCTTGTGCAAAACAAACAAACAATACATATCAACAGGCTGACTGTTTATTTTTTTAATCATTGTTCAAAAAACTGAGTGATGCTCTTCATTCAGGTCTGGTGTTATTTAGGCTAAAGCCACTTTTTAAATGTGAGGTGTTCATTTGCATAAAGAGTTACATCTTTTATTATTTACTGCAAGTGATATCAGTCAGAATAAAGTTTGGTGATTTTGATTAAAAAATTACTGTTTTTTGGTTGCAATTTAACTCTTACTGACATTTTTGATTAAATGTATTTATTTCAATAGTTTTCAAGGTCAGATGTTTTCTTCTCACCATGCAATAAAATTCCATTGAAGAGAAAATATTTCTGTAGAATCATTTTTATTTTATGTCTCATTTATTTTATAACTGATTGTGTTTCACAACCCCTTCTATTCCAAATAATTTAAAGTTTGACTTCCTGTCAATATTTTATGATGCGCACACACTGCAGAGCTTTTGGATTTATAGAGTCTGATCCACAAGTTGAAGTATATGGTCTAACAAGATAACCGAAGTGATTTTAGTTCCTGAACAGGTGCTATTCCCTCAAGAGTGCTCTTTTAATCTTGCACCAGAGGGAGGCAGAAACAGTCGGCATTAATGGTGTTTACTCTCTTGGGAAATGCAAATGAATGCAACGATTTATTAATGTTGAAAACAAAGAGCTTATTTTGGCTGCAGGGAAACTAATTGAAATGTTATTGAAACACATGTTTAATGCAAATAATGTATTCAGGTTCATGTGAACCACAAAATGCATCCCTGCTGATGTTTTCAAGTAATAATTCCCAAAAAATTATTCGGTTTATTGTTTCAGTTAAATCTTAGCTAAGATTGTGTAAAATATCTTCATTTATCGGAGAAAAAAACAATTCCAGGAGCTGGAAAGAGGAATAAGAGAAAAATGAAAAACAATCTTTATTGAAGGAAAAATATACTTTTTTTTTTGTTGAGGAAAAAAAGTCAGTTTGGCACCATGGAGGCATGCTGAAGGGCAGATAATTGTGGATGAGAGACTGCAGCAGGTACGCAGTACCGGCTGCGTCCACTGGGGGAGGACCGAGCGCCGCCTGCGCGCTGCAGTACACGACACACACACACACACACACACACACACACACACACACACACACACACACACACACACACACACACACACACACACACACACACACACACACACAATGGGAGGGATACAGGAGATAGGTAGAGCTAAAGCGGCAGACAGACAGATGTGTGATGCTCAGACTGAGGCCGTTCCTTTCCGCCCGAACCAAGGTAAACTTTTACCCACCCTCGTTTTCTTCTGCTCGCGGTCGCGTGGAGCCATCGTAGATGCCAACTCGCTGCGTGAACACCTGATTCCCCAGAAGCGGTGCCGCAGAAATTGAGGCTCAAGTGCCAACAGATCCTGTTGAATTGAGACAACACGTCGACATGCACGCAGCCGGAAAAAGTGCCCTCCTCAGAGTGCGTCAGAGCACGGATGCATATGCTGGATGTGGATATGGTCGCCCGTTGGAGACGGAGACGGATTTGTGATTATCACGCCTCACAATCAAGACGAAGGTTTGAGCGCAGAAGAAAATCTGTATCCTCGCCTCCTCATCATCTTCCAACAAATGTGTTTTTAGGAGGGCTGAGGCTCTTTTGGCCCTTTACGGATGTAAGTATGGATGTCAGGATGAAATAATGGTGCTTAGTGAGAGGATTTCGTGCGAAACGTGTTTTGTTAATGCCGTCCAAGCATTAATAATAATAATAATAATAATAATAATAATAATAATAATAATAATAATAATAATAATAATAATAATAATAAGCGTGTGAAGTTTCGTAATATGCATAGCGATCATTAATATTAACACGTCCCTTTCTCTTGTGTTGTTGTCTAAATCCTATCCTCTCCTTTTCTCGCAGCTTCTGAGAGGAAAAGTCATTCGGATTCATCGGAGTTCCAGAATAAAGCGGAGATCCATCCAAATGAAACACAAATATAGATCTCACCTCATAAAATGGCAACCACGGGTGACCACGGAGGATTAAAGGACGCGTTTGAGCGCAAACCCTCGGTCGTGGGGGAATGAGCCACCTGATGGGCACCAGAGAAACGGAGGAGAGACTGTTTTGGTGTCGCTTGTTGACTCGGTGATTTATGAACACATAAAGCGGCGCTGCAAGTTTGACAGAGCGTCTGCGTAACAGGCTATGCCACTGGCCCTTGGATTTGTATTATCCTTATGTTTATATTTTGCTTCTAATGATGTCATAAAATCTTGGGTGCTCGAGCCACGACCATTATCTTCTATCATGTAAGAAGCTACCCAATATGGACCTTTCTGAGGAGTGTTTGTTGTTCTCACTTTCTCTTATTCCCGGGAACGGTTGATGCCTCGTGCCCTCGCGTCTCTGCGCGCGCCGAACTGCAACTTTTCTCCCCTGCTCTGCATCCACACCTTGTCGTGGCGCTTACTGCGCCGCTGATCGACTGAAAATGGAATTTGCGATGGTGGGTGCGGACGGAGGGTGCAACAGTCACCTGCCTTACGGATATGCCCAAGCTCGCGCACGGGAAAGGGAGCGCGAGAGGGAGCGCCAGGCTGCCCAGTCGCGAGCGGCGGCTGCAGCGGCCGCGGCCGAAGGATGCTCTGGTGCGGAGGGAGGAGGAGGAGGAGGTGGTGGAGGCGGTGGTGTAGGGGGGTCCACCTCCACCGCCTCCTCGAGCGCTCATCTCCTTAACAACCGCCAGCATCAGTCTCGCGCCGCCTCCTCCTCCGCGAACATCAGCAGCAGCGCCGCCTCGCGCCCCTCCTCCTCCTCCTCCTCCCAGCATCAGCAGGAACCCGAGCAGCAGCACAGAGTTCTCAGAGAGCGGAAAAAGCAGCGCGGCGTCGGACGGTGGAGGCGCAACCGGAGCACTCTCGGCGGGGACCTGCGCCACTCGGAGCTGGCGCTGCTCGGATCCGAGGAGGACATCATGATAGAGGAGGAGGAGGAGGAGGAGGAGGCCGAGGGAGCGGAGGAAGAGGAGGAGGAAGAAGGGGAGGCGGCAGAGGGGGTTCGAGGCAGCAAAAGGTCGAGTTTTCTGTGCAACATGGATGATGAGGAGACGGTGTCGATCACCGACCGGCGCCCTCAGTCCGGCTATGAGAACGTTTACAGCGAGTGCGGCTGCTGCGAGCGGGTGGTCATCAACGTGTCGGGGCTGAAGTTTGAAACTCAGCTCAAGACTCTCACTCAGTTCCCAGACACCTTGCTGGGAGACCCCGACAAGCGCATCAGGTACTTCGACCCGCTGAGGAACGAATACTTCTTCGATCGAAACCGGCCGAGCTTCGATGCCATCCTGTACTACTACCAGTCAGGGGGGCGCTTAAAAAGACCCGTGAACGTGCCGTTTGACATCTTCTCAGAGGAGGTGAAGTTTTACGAACTCGGCGAGGAGGCGATCCTCAAGTTTCGGGAAGATGAGGGTTTTGTGAAAGAGGAGGAAAAGCCTCTGCCGGAGGACGAGTTCAAGCGCCAGATCTGGCTGCTGTTCGAGTATCCGGAGAGCTCGAGTCCTGCCCGGGGCATCGCGGTGGTGTCCGTCCTGGTCATCGTCATCTCTATTGTCATTTTCTGCCTGGAGACGCTGCCAGAGTTCAGGGATGAAAAAGAGTACCTGCAGCCACGACACAACTCTTCTCAGCCGGACCACGGCTTCACACCCTTCAACGACCCGTTCTTCATCGTGGAGACGGTCTGCATCATCTGGTTCTCCTTTGAGATTATAGTGCGCTTCTTTGCAAGTCCGAGCAAAACAGCTTTCTTTAAAAACATTATGAACACGATAGACATTGTATCCATTTTGCCTTACTTCATAACTCTTGGCACGGATCTGGCGCAGCACCAGGGCAACGGGCAGCACACCATGAGCTTCGCCATCCTGAGAATAATCCGCCTGGTTCGGGTGTTCCGCATCTTCAAGCTGTCCAGACACTCCAAGGGGCTGCAGATCCTGGGTCACACGCTGCGCGCCAGCATGAGGGAGCTGGCTCTGCTCATCTTCTTCCTGGTCATCGGCGTAATCCTGTTCTCCAGCGCGGTGTACTTCGCTGAGGCGGACGAACCCACCTCTCAGTTCACGAGCATCCCCGACGCGTTCTGGTGGGCCGTGGTTACCATGACGACGGTTGGCTACGGTGACATGAAGCCCATCACTGTTGGTGGGAAGATAGTTGGTTCGCTGTGCGCGATCGCGGGCGTGTTAACCATCGCGCTGCCGGTGCCTGTCATAGTGTCCAATTTTAACTACTTTTACCACCGAGAGACGGATAACGACGACCAGCCGCCCGCCGTGGTGGAGAGCATGCCCCCGGGATGCCCTTATTTCCCTGACTTTCTAAGAAAATTCAAAGGTTCACCCTCTGGCTCATCGCTGGGTGACAAAGCGGAGTACATGGAGATGGAGGAAGGGGTGACGGAGTCGCTGTGCGGGCTGGACAAGAGCCCCAGTAAAGGAAACGGCACAGACATAAGCAGGAAAAACAGTACTAACTCTAAATCCATTCAGACTGACGTGTGATTACAGTAGTTTATTATTATTAGTGGTATTGTTTTGTTTTCCAAAGAAGAAAAGCATCTTGTAGAGACACTTTCTGCTCAACAGCAGCGGAATCCCCTCCCCAACCCTCCCCAAACACAGGCTTTACGCACGCGTCAGAGTGCACACAGACACACACAGATTTACGCACACACATACACTCACACATAAACACGAAACTAATTGGCAAGCTCAAAAGTTTTCTCTTGACACAATCATAATCTATAATTTATCTAATTTATTGGTAAATATATTAATTTATTCTGTGCGGGCTTCCAAATCTGACAGATCTAAATTAGAAACAGGCTATGCATTCGCACTTTATGAGTTTCATCTGTCACACCAGAGGGTTAGGGACGATCTTTTTGCTGTTATGCAATACAGTTTAAAACATGTTTGCACTAATGTAGAATTTGCGCTGGGTTTGGCAGATTTCTATGTAGAGACAGAAACTGTAGGCCATGCAGGCAACACGGTAGGCACCTTCTGCTCAGCTGGAACACGAATGAGGATTTTAACACTCAATTGGATTCTGACATAAACCAAAACAGCACTTAAAAATGATATGTATATATATATATATATATATATATATATATATATATATATATATATATATATATATGTGATGTGGCATTTAGGAGGCATTAAAACACATAGGGCTGCAACAAATAAGCTTTTCTTTCTCCACAAGAAAAATCAAAACGCCTTGTGTTGTTGATGCACCATGAGAGCTAAGCACAGAAATCAGAGTTTAAAATGGCTGGAGAAGTGACTCGCCTCGACTTTTGTCTGGAGCTTTTCACGCAAACCTTTTTTTCTCATTCAAACCACCTCAAAATGACAGTATCCCTTTACAAAGTCGAAGCTGGAACGTCACAACACAAATGACTCCGGATGAGAGTTTACGAGCATTTTTCCTCTTATCCGTTGGACTCTGTGCACAAAACAGTTTTTTTTTCAAGAGGACTTTGTGATCTCGGAGCTCAGAAGATTTTTAGGATGCGGATGTCTTCCAAGGTATGTGGCTTTAAGTTTCCTGTGTGCCAAACTGTCAGATTTACCTGGGGATGCTTAGAAAACACGTAAACGCACCACCAGCATCATAATCGTTAACATTCCAATCTGAAAACTATCACGTGCCCCCTGAAGCAGTGGAATATGCTCGAAGACGCATGCGTCACTGTGCGTAAAACGTGCGCATTCGTGCTATTTTGCACTCCTTTGCAGCTTTTAACTTAAATCTGTTACTTAATAAAACATTTTATTATTAAAAGCTGCACTTAACCCGATGAGACATTAGCTCAATTTTTTGAGAACGTTGGTGCTAAATGTTTTTGGACATTTTACAACAAATAATTTTTAATAAACTTCCTTTCATTTCTAACAGACTGTTGATAAGTACTGTTCCACGTCTGTGGTGAGTGATCTGGAGTTTCTTTAGAGCAGATCAGGATCTGGGGTGTCGCTGTCGTTGTGTCCTTGGGCAAGACACTTAACCCACGATGCCTGCTGGTGGTGGTCGGAGGGACTGGTGGCGCCAGTGCTCGGCAGCCTCGCCTCTGTCAGTGCGCCCCAGGGCAGCTGTGGCTACATCGTAGCTCATCCCCACCAGTGTGTGAATGTGTGTGTGAATGGGTGAATGACTGATTGTGTTGTAAAGCGCCTTGGGGGGTTCCAGGACTCTAGAAGGCGCTATATCAAATACAAGTCATTTACCATTTACCATTTCATAAAATGATCCAAAACTTACTTCTTTCTGCAAACAAAACATTAAAAGCCCCATAGAGTCTTCCTCCAATGAGAAATGTGTTTCAGCATCTTATCAGATGTCTGAATTTGTGCAAACAATAATGTGTGTGCAAGGAGGAAACTTTGTCTGAGCTGACTCCTAAATGTCCTTAAATGACTTCATGGCATTGCTGGTTCAGAAGTCATGGTTAATTTAATGTCTTTTTAATTAAAGCAGAAACCTGAACCCATCCTCTGAATAGACTCATTGGCAAAGTCAAAGCCATCTTGAATTGTCAACAACAAAAAAAGTTGTTTTAATGTTAAAATGAAATAAATCAGACCCTATACATCAAACAGGATGCAAACCGTACTTCATGCAGGAATTAAATCAAGTAGATTTCTGGTAACAATACATTTAATGTTACTCCAAATAAGCTATTTATCTAATCTGTCTGTTTAAAATGGGCTCTGTATGAGTAGCACATAAAAGAACAAAGTAAGAACTGACTTTGTTTATTCCTCTTTTATTATTGTTGGAACTGGATGTTCTGGGTGTAATCCAGCTGATATAAAAAAGACACTTTTTCAAGTGCTTCTCTACTTTTGCAGCAGCATAAAAGTCTGGCAGTCCTACACAACAAGAGTCTCATACAAACAAAGCCTACATCTGTAGATTTTTTCCAGGGAACAACATCAACAATTATTTTTTACCAGCTTTTTTGGATGTTTTGAGGTGTGTGTGTGTGTGTGTGTGTGTGTGTGTGTGTGAGAGAGAGAGAGAGAGAGTGGGAGTGACTCTTTTCTGCAGATGTTCATTTCACCCATTTTAGATACCTGCTGCTTATCCATGCAGGGCCACAGGCAGGTGGGTAGGGTACACCCTGGACAGATTGCCAGTCCATCACAGGGTAACACAACCATGCACGCGCACACACACCTGGGGAGGGCCCACATGCACAGGCAGAACATACAAACCCCAGGCTGGGAGTCGAACCCAGGACCTTCTTGCTGCAAGGCAACAGCTCTAACCACTGCGCAACTGTGCAGCCCCTTTTTCTGCAGGTAGTATTTCAATATTTTTCACAACATTTTGGGTTTTTCACATCAAGCTGATGACCAATTCCACATGAAAGTAATACTTTGACTGTCTTCTTGACAGATTAACTACATCTAAAAATTGCATGTTGACTTTTACCTTACAAAGGGGATCTCTTGAATCTGCGTGGGAGGGGTGGGAAACCGACTGCTGTCTAATAATAATAATAATAATAATAATAATAATAATAATAATAATAATACATTTTATTTAAAAGCGCCTTTCAGAACACCCAAGGTCACTTGACAGAAAATACTTAATAAAATACAGTAAAACAACAATAAAAAGCAAACAAGACAAAACAAAGAGAGAAACAGTTCAATAAAATCAGATGTCGTAGGCAGATTTAAACATACAGTATGTGTTTTGAGTTTGGTTTTGAAAAGGGTAAAACTGTCGATGTTCCCGATGTCTGGGGGGAGTGAGTTCCAGAGACGAGGAGCAGAGCGGCTGAAAGTTCTGCTCCCCATGGTAGTGAGACGGGCAGAAGGAACCGCAAGATGGATGGAAGAAGAAGATCTGAGAGAACGGGATGAGGTGTTAATACTTCTAAGGTCTGAGATATATGGAGGAGAGAGGTTGTGGATTGCTTTGAAGGTGTGGAGGAGAATTTTGAAGATGGACCTGAATTTCATTGTCTGGTTGTTTTTAATATTGGAAAGCGCTTTGAGCTGCATTTGTATGAAAAGCGCTTCATAAACATTTTTATTGATTGACTGATTGACCTTAAATTTTGATTTTCAATTCCCTCCTTATCGTTTCCTGTTCAGTTGCCCTCATACACCATCACCATTAATATCATTTTATAGTAAAGGTCAACATGCTATTTCTTAAATTTAAACTGTCAAGAAAATTTAAAATATTATTTTCAAAGGTAAGCGGCTCTACTATTTTAAGATTTTGTAATATCAGCTGCCATATTGTTTGGTGAAATGTTTTATAAATAACTTGACTTGGCTTAAGAAATCCAAAATGCTGAGAAACATTTAAATACGTCTAAAAGATGATATAAATACTTCAAGAATGTTTATTCCCATCGCAAAACCCTTTTAATCTATAAGTTTTAGAGCATTATTTGAATGTTTGAGACTGTTATTGTGAAGGACTGTCACTTTCTTCCTACTGCAGAAATAAAGATGCTCTTGATAAAGTGACTTTTTAAATATTTAATCAGTCAAAGGAACCCCCCAGTTACAATAATAACAAAAGAGAAATAAACAAAGTCAGATCTTAGATCCGACTTTTTTCTCCTGAATGGTGCAAATACAGTTTAGGGCAGAAACAGCTAGAACCAATTTTTAAATGACAAATTAAATCAATTACTTATTTAGGAGTACAATCAAGTATATTGTTGACAGAAATCTGCTTTATCTTAATTGCTGCTCAGAAAATGTTTGGTCTCACTCCCATTTGTTCTTGTTGCCTGTTTAAGCTCTACTTGGAGCCTCGTTAAGGTCCAGCCATGCACAATGTGATTTTTGGCCATTTTCAAGTGGTCTTAAACTTTTGATGGGGACCGTGAAACCTTTTGTAAGTAAAATGATGCAAGAAAGAAATTTGGGGATGTGCTCAGTCTAGCATCTGCTTCACAGAGCCAAAGTGCTCACATCAAAACTCCATTTCCACTTTAACTCTTTTCTAAAAGCCATTCCTTAAAATAAAGCAGACCAAAACATTCATCGCTCACTTCTCCCAAAGCGATCATAACATCAGCATACGATCATTTATTGTGCGTTCCTTCTTCGAGGAGCTGTTTATACAGGATATTTTTAACACCTGCACCCACAGCCAATCGTAGAGTGCAACCACGTTGGCTCCCAGCTAGCTCCTGACACCTCAAACTTACCACTTACATAATGAGGCTTACTGCGAGAGGCACAATCCGAACCAATTTTCGAGCAAAGCGTGTGGGTCAGACATATTCTGAGGCTTGTGGCTGATGAATCGACTGTGAGAAACAGCGTGTATCCTCTTGAGCCACGGAGGCTCAGATTCTGACTGCTTGTAGCATCCCGTGGTCACGTGCGGGGCCGATTCTTTGTAGTTTAGATACGAACCATATGGCTGGAGCGTGTGAAAAAAGTGAAGGGCTATTTATGGTTGTTTCCCCCCAAAGTATGCTATGTCTGTCAAAGGATGAGGAGGAGAGGTGGAGAGAAACTGGCTGTGCAGTAGATAATGTCAGCCTGGGTTACGTAATGATGGAAAGAGCAGAGTACCAATGAGTTGGGCCGGGCAACACAAAAGTTAAGTGGCAGTTCTGCTAATCAGATAAAAATCAACGACAACTTAGCAGGACGCAGTCACTGGCTCGAGCTTTTCCTGTAGTGTATATTTGATTCGTTTCCATTTTATGTATTGTACGGTGTACTTTAGGTTTGACATATTTTTTCCTGAAGAGGTTTTCCCTGATTCCTTTTTGTCTGATGTTTATTTTTTTCTGTGACCTTTTTTACTAACACTATTTAGGCAGACATCTAATGGATTTTTGAGGCTTTTTTCTCTGTGGTCTGATGTTTGACACCTGAGACCTGAGGATGTCCTAAACTATACACCGTATTATCGAGATTTTCTAAAAGTTTAGGAAATTTCTGCAGGTAAAAAAAAAACATATATATATATTTATAAATCAGGAATTTGCGTTTTTGTGTTTTACATGAAGAACTATAGTGGTGCAGTCTTGTGAATGGGAAGCTCGTTGTGCTTTTTTCTAGTTCGCAGCAGTGAATCACAGAATCAAGTTTAGAAAACTAGACCGA